AATGAATTTATTTCTTTTCTGACGACAAATTTTCATATAAAAGAAATAAAAAAAGGGAAGAAATATTAAGAAAGAAATATTTTCTTCCTAGTTATTATGTAAAGAAATATTTTCCAATAGCACTGTAAAATAATTGCGGGAAAACGTTTAATGTAACTGGGAAAAAAAAAAAAAAACTTGTTGCGATTAGATGTATGCAATTACATATTATTAATTAAATGATTAAATTTATTTCTAAAAGGATTTGAAGTAAGCTTAATTCATTACTTTATCTATTTCATTGCTTTTTGGTATCCCAATCACTCTTATTTATAGATCTAAATTACGAGTAGTTTCCCGTACAAACGAATTTCCTCCAGAACACAGGCCATATTACGCTGCGGTTGGCATAATATGTTTGTGCAATTTTTTCGAACAACAAATGCAGGTGTGAGTTAGTGAAATAATGGAGAATATTCCTGAACTTCAGCAGCGCGCGCTCTAAATTCGTCCTTCCTGCGATTGGTCTCGCTCTTGAAGCCTTGTCCCCTTTCAGTAAAGTTAAATGGACCCACCCGCCCACCAACTGAGGACCACAGATGGCTTTCTCCGATAAGTTTGTTGATAGCTGTCCATACCGTTTCTTGGTAATATGTTCGCTTAAGTTGTAGACAGATCCAATGATCATAGAATAGCCAGCATCCATACCTAGAAAAACATAAATCCTAAGTCAAAGAAGTTTCATCGGAATTTAACATACAGATTTTGAACATTAAACATAGTTGATATATTAATAATCAGTCTTTTTAGGAGTTACTTCCTTTTAACAAAATATGTATGTTTTTCATATTAAAAATATGCAATAAACGTTAAAACAAAACACACCCACCACACAAAAAAAAATTACAGCTACCCTTTTTTATTAAATTGTAGTAATTATGTAATAGGTGATTCTAAAATTAGTTAATTTTGTATTATTTATATCTATACTTCACTATATTATAGTATAGATAGCTTTTTGTATTATTATTTGAATAATAATGCAACATTTTGCAGTAATTTGAATGACTAAATATTATACTTATATCATTATTTCTACCTTTCACCTTAAGGAAAATTTTTTTTCGGTTAATGAAGACAAACAGAAATAATACACCACACTAGCAACATCTGTGGTTTCATTTGTAGTAACCCAAAATTCTTGGTAAGCTAGGGTAGAATCACATTTGTGATGCACTCCAGTTCTTTTACAGCTTTTCGAAAGAATTAACATCTACGATGTGGAATAGCGAACAAAACAGTAAGAACTTGGAACAATTACCTGTGGACAACTTGTATTCATAGCATTCTAAAATGAGCTTTTAGTAAAATTTGACCGCAAAAAACAGTAGTAATGAAGCATTTTTTCACGAGTGGGTCCAATACTTAACAGCAGGGTTATTCAGTAGTCTGCAGCGAGAATGTTTGTATGGTGTGTTGTAACTGCTGTATACAAATGTCTGGCTCAGAATCCACAGCATAATTGCACAAATTTCAGGGTGATGGTATAAGGGAGGTACCAAAAATTAGTATTATCACAGTAACTGCAAGATGGCTTATATTTCTAACTAGTAACACATTCATGCAGAAAGGAAATATATCCAGTTTCAACTTAAATAAGGTCAATGAAATGTGGTAAAAGCAATTGCTTAAAACAGATGCTCTGTAGAGGATTTTATGGAAAACTGGCTTTCATACCATATACATGGGCAAAACCAATGTCGTGTAATATAATAATCTATTAGTACAGTAAATACATTTAATTTCTTTGCATTTATTTATGTCATGCTGCTTTTCGTGTGATTTAGTATGATAACCTTATAAGTTTATTTGGTTCTGATCATGGTCTACGGAAGTAAGGTAAGTCACCTGTTGCGAGAATACCAAGTTATTAATATTTATGTAAAAGCCTGCAATAACTTTTCATATCATAAGAGATTTACGAATGTGTATATACTTACATGTGTAATTATTATGCAAGATCTATAGAAAATATCCAAAATTACCATGACATTAACCACACTGTACGAACTGGCAAGACATTATACATTAGGAGAAAATTAACTAATATTTTGGGGGATCAAATACTATTTTACGCATGGGAACTGTTTAAACAGCTGAGAAAAATTCATGGTTTTTCCCCCTACAGTTCAGAATATATATATATATTGTCATAGAATAAAAGTAAAGTTAAATTAAATAATTCTGATGTGCCATTGTGCAAGAAAGAATTTGAATTTAACAATATTCTCTTCATATAAAGTTAATTTAAATTATGAAATTTAATGCATACATATCAAGATTAATTATGCTGAAATAATTACTATATCTGAAATTCTGAGAGCAGATGTAAATTTAAATGCACGTATCTAACCATGAAAAAATATATAATATTCCAAAAACTAATCCCAATATATACATTATATATATATATCTCAAAGACAGGAATGCATAATTTCTGTTAGAAAAACAATTTCTCCGATTAGTTAGAGTAATAAAAAAATAAATTAATGGGTGATATGATTAATGAATTCCAAAATTTGCAGTAATTAAAAAGGCTGTTTCTATCATTACTACGAAAAAACGAGGGATGAAAATCCTGATGCATAGGAACATTAAAAATTTGTGTGTTTACGTATAAAAATATGTGATATTCTCATATAGGTCATTAATCTTAGTCTTTGAAACAGTAACATTTCCAGAAGTATTTCAGTTTTCATAATGTAAATTAAAAATAAACCTGCATTTGAACAGAATATCTATTGGCAGTTGCCTTCAGAAAAGGTTTCAATTCATTGAAGCAACGATTTAATCTGAATCAATGATGAATTCACGCTCCTTCAAAGCATTACGACTGTCTCGAAAGCCAGGGATTCGATCAGCTTTCTCGAGTTCTAATCTGAGCAAAATCACCTCACATCTGTTTAATCGTTTAAGCGGGGCAGATCTTTTATGGTGTGACTTTTCTAGGCGGTCGAAAGTTGCACTGAATCGGTTTTGAATGCATAATTACCATGACAAGCGTTGCACTTGAATTCGCCCCTTAATTCAATTACTAGTTTCTTAATGTTAACATCAATGAAATTTAGAATACAAATGAAAGTGAAGAGAAACACACCTGTGTAATATTAAAATTAGTCAAAAAAGCAACTTTGGTTTTGAGTTTCATTCAAAATCTATGCCACAGTAAGACTTTTTTTTTTTTTTTTATAATTTTAGAATGTCTTTGAATATCTGCAATGCAAATACTGCACAGAGATCAAAATCTGCATTATTTAAACTTTTATTGTTTAAGATTTCCTAAAAACAGTTATTTAATAATTTTAAAAAATTCTTCAGTATGTAAAATTTAATCTCTTTAAGTAATATTTTACTTTAACTCTTTTTAAGTATATTTTTACTCCAATGCCGTGGAAACAGATATACAAATTTTAGATCACGGTGTATTAATATGTTAATTACATCTTTGATAGGGGATACTAAATTATTTTTTGGCCCAGTACAGCCGATAGAAATATTTTGAAAATTTTTCACTGAAATAGTACATGATCTGAAGCTATCTGTTAACTTCTTACTATATAAATAATTAAAAAATAAGGTGTATACTCTGAATTACCTTTAAATTAGAATAAATAGTTGTAATGCGTACAATTCAGAATAGCGCATGTCTAGATGAAAGCAGGAATTAAAATCGAGATCAAATAGCTGGTGTTTATGTGTGAAAAAAAAAAAAAAAAGGTGAGATAGCTTAAAATTTCCATGCTTTCCTTCTAATTAAAATATTTTTACTAATAAGAAATCAACAATTTCTGACTACTATGGATTAATCGTTTTTAAACTTTGCAGAATTCGTTTTTGGTACTTTTCCGATCTTTGTAAACATCGCAAAGTGTAGCAGAATTGTAGCGCCGTCTCGCGGTCAGTACGAATATCACGCAGGCAACCGAAAACCACACTGGCAGGCCTTGCACAGACTAAGAATGTTCCAAAACTATATTTTTTTTAGCTAGATCATATATTTAATTCGTTAGCTTGCATAACTAATGTAAACAAATCTGTAAAGAGTACAAAATTCTTCTGGAAGCTATTGCAGCTTAATCAAAACACGCATAATTTGTTAAGTAGCTTAATACGATAAAAGTAAGAATAATTTTCAACTTCGCTTCGGTAAAATGCCCTAAATTTGGGTTTGTTTTATTTTTTCCTGTACGATGTTAATGATAGTACTCATTGAAATAACATACTAATCTTTGACATTGTTAGACAGAAAAGAACTGCGCATGCGTTGTCGTATGTTTCTGTCCTATTTTCAACCTAACAGCTGAACAAAACTTCTAACGGGACAAGTAGTGTGGATTTGTGACTTAAATTGATCCCGAGTTGTGCAATAAGAAAAATAGGGCAATCGAAGAGTTGCATGTTGTTGCAAAAATTTTTTTAGTGCAGGTATCGACTCAACTCGACTGATTAGTTTAGAAATTCAGCCATACCAAATGTCTGCGAGATCATATCTAATACCATATGCTGATCGGCCAAGATTCAGATCATGTTTACTTTGTAAAAGAAGTTGACATATAATTCGTTATGTTTCTTTGGACTATGATATAAAATATAATTATATATGATGGTATATAAAACAATTTAATTGTTTCAGTGTTCCTGTGTTGCTATCTGAATGACAGCTATCAAGTAAGTTCCTAACTTTTTTTCTTCTCTATCCTTTCCTGCTGTGTTTGTAAACTTTGGCCGTCTTTCAGATGATCTAAAAATAGAGAAAGAACTTGAAAACACTAACTGTTTTTCTTACCCATCTCTTTTGCGCAACTTTTTAGAATTACTTTTAATTCTCTGTTTTGATGTTCTCTTGTTAAGAGATTATATTAAGATGATCGACCCGTTGTATAATTTTGTATCCTTTCGACAAAGTTTGAAAATTAATGATTTTAAGCTACTACAATAGTTTTTTTTTTTTTTTTTTTTTTTTTTTTTTTTTTTTACGTGCAGTGATGTAAATTTTTCCAAACCAGCAAATTCTTTCCAACATTGTATATAATTGGTGTCTTTAAATAAGAAAATATGATGCAATCGGGGAGTACCTTTTGTTTTAGGTAGCTCGTTGTGAACTAAAAAGGTGAATAATATTTTCAAGACTTTTAGAGTTCTTATTATAAAATTTTATGCAGTTAATTAATATTGGATGACTTGGGAAAATTTCCATAAAGTTTAATTGGATTGAATCCTGATATTAGGAACAATGCCATGCAGTGCTATCAATGTTGTATAATGCTGCATAAATATCATGATGAAAATGTACCAGTTTGTAGCGATAACTCAATGAATTAAATATAATTAAATAAAATGGTATTTAAGTATTTCAGTTAATTTGATGTAAGTTATTGCTCCAGAGTAGCATTCTAAATGTATTGGATATTATTAGTTATACACTTGTTTTTAAAAAAATCTTTTCATTTTGTTTGTCTCTTTTAATCGTAGTTGGCAACGGTCTTTATTAGCTGTTCAGGTTGATTAGACTCGTCTGTGGATTTTGTGTTTCTTTTTAAATTTATGTGAACTGGTGATGTACATATTGTATTTCCTCATATATTTTTCCCTCTAACTTTTTAACACCAAGTTAAAAAAGTTTTAAAATATTTGCATAATTTTCCCCTTCTTCAGTGCATTTAGAGCTCCCATTAATTGTAAAATGGATTCGTCCACATAGTGATCATTTTCGTCTCCTAACAAAGACGAACCCTCAGAAACTATGTGCAAAGGTCACGTCAAATCTTTTTCATCTGACTGTTGAACTTTATACCAGCCTAGTGCAAGAACCGGATCATCACAGTGAAGCAAACATGAAATAACATTCAGCTTATGATATTGTTGAATCAACTGCACTTTTACCTTCTCTATTTATTTATGGATGATCTGAGGCCTAAGGAGTAGCAGAGACAACAGTAGGAACAGGTGAGATTTAAGTTACAGGAAAGTAGAAATAAAGATATACAGTCAAAAGTTGTTAATCCAGACACCCATAATCCGGAATGATCTATAATTCGGACCTCAAAGCTACAAACTTTCTGCACATGCGTCAATGCATAATTTGTTCACGCATGCGCATGGGCGTTTACACATGCGCGTAATACTTTTACGCATGCGCATATGACGTTTACGCATGCGTGTTTAATGTATAACGGACGGTATAAGCGAAGCTAAAATTATCTAATTATCTATTTCAGTTAATGTTGCAGATTGCATTGTTCCTTAATCTTCGAATTGGATCTGGCTTATTATTTTTTGCAGACTGTTAGAGCAATTTTATAAAAGTAAGCTTGAACTTTCAATTATGTCAAATAGAATTTCCAATATATATTTACTAATATGTAAAGGATCTACAAAGCGAAAGTATGTTTCGATGTCCATCAAACAAAAAGTAGAATTGCTGCAAAAAAATGGATAAAGGCATATCCTTTGTTTCTGTAACGTTCCGAAATCTGTTTATCAATTTCATGCTGCTGTGCTAGGGGGAGGGACGTCGTGGCGCGCAATGAACTGGAAGTTGATCTGTCGGCACTGTCCTTATCTTCAAGGCAGATGTTTTTATTTTATTCAGCTTATAATTCCTTACTAAATGTAGTATTTCATCTCGATGTATTCTGTCTATGCTATGATTTTAATCAAATTCCTCGTCATTATGAATATCACGAGTACACATCAAATAGTTTTCTGGTTGCAATTTTCTAATTTCGACTATGCGTAATGTATGCTTTACGCATGCGCGTGTTGGAAAGAAATGTTTAATAAAGTAAACAAAAAAAATATAAGGCCTTTTTTTTTTTTTTTTTTTTTTTTTATTTTTATTTTGATACCCTTTAGATCATAATTGCTCGTTATTTCATATTTTTAATTTTATAATTTCTGCATGCCATCTTACCAGATTTAAACTGATGATTTATAATTCGGAATCCCCGAAGTCCCGACGAGTCCGGATTAAAGACTTTTGACTGTATTATTAAATGCTGTAATGTTAATATTACTATGTATTGTAATTGGAATGTATGTTCCTTTTAAAGAAATAATATTGTGGGTAAAATATATTTACGGGTACCCCTTGGCAATTTTTGGCAGTACATGGATACCGAGTTTGAGCATTTCTTTGACTTCTTACTTTGTTTACTTTTTTTGTAAAAATCGCCCAAAATAACAAGACAAAGAATTGCATAAACTCGGTATCCATGTACACATCGACCTATTTTCGTTTAAAAAAAATCAGAGAATTGTACAAACTTGCGATTGCACACTCCCTTGACTTTATCCATGTACACATTGACCTATTTTCACTTGAAAAAACATCAGTGAATTGTACAAACTAGGCATTGTACACTCCCATTGTACACATCGAACTATATTCACTTAAAAAGTGAAAGGAGCAGCCAACAAAAAAAATATATATATAATCTCAATAAACTACATTTTAAATCAAACAATGAAATAGCATAAAAAAAGGAAATTCATCTTTGCACAACACAAAGGTAATATCCTTATTTACTAGTTAACATGTCTTCAGTCGAACAAAATTCCTTAACAGCATCTAAAAACCTCTGAAAATTATCTGAACTAGAATCTGTATACTGGCGTAGCCACATTAATTCACAAAAAAAGAGTAAAAAATATCCTCCATAGTGCCGTTCCAACGTTCGACATGCTTTCTTATACAAACAGGACACTTATAATGGCTACTAAGTAAACCTCATTTACACAGCAGTCAGTAATGCCTTCCCCTTTCCTTCCAATCGTACAGAAACTTCAATTTAATCTTACCACATTCAGCTATTTTACCATCTAAACCACAAAACAAGCAATATACTTCCTAACCAACACACACACAAGCCCTTACGAATTTACTGCAATCATACAACTGATTACGTCATAATAGGTGTTCCGTAACATACAATGGAAGCGCTTCCACAAAGGATCCGTTAGATGTAAACATTGCCAAAAATGGCGATAATAGTTCAAAGCTGATAACTCGGTGAATTTGCTTGTCAGAGGTATCAACCTGGTTTCTACAAGCACTTAGAGATTGTGTTCTCGTCTGTTTAGGGCTACATTTTGCTGCTGGCTAGAGGTGCATCACTACCAGATGGAGGTGGTGAAAATATGGCAGGGGTGAATGATAATTGATAGCAAAGCTGTTTAGAATAGTATAGCTGGGGTCTTATGTAAATCTTAAAAGACTTTAAACACGCAGAACCATAGGGTGCACGACTCGTAAAACATTATGATTAAGCATAATGAGTAAAGCATTTATAAGTCATTTCAGATACAACATTTTGAGAAGTATTTCATTTGCCTTTTTCGGTTGATCTTTACAATATGGTAACTGGTAGTTTGGCGACATTTTGGAGGCGATAAAGACTTTGGTAATAATGTGAGCAGTACTCAGTTCCGATTACGCATTATTTTGTGTGAGGGAAATGAGAGATCATGGGATGTGTCATGTGATATTAATGGACAAATTACGGCTCTTTAATCGGAAAAGGGGGGAAATCGGGAAAAAATCTGGAAATTTTGTATTTGGCTTTATTCTGTGTTGTGTGAAACAGTGTTCGTGAATTTTTGGATCCCATGGCCGTAACTAAGTGAATTCGAAATGGGTATTTATGTATGTATAATTTAATGTATGTGCTCATTTTTTAAGTAGTGTTTTTGAATTTAATTATATTTAATTAAATGATAGTTATTTTGTGAATTTTTATGTTTGTAGGAATTTGGTATATGTTTCAGTTGAAGTAAACGTGCTGGAAATAATTTAAATATCTGACACTAAGTATTTGTAATGGTTGCGGTATGAATTCGTTGGTGACGTGTATAATGTAATAGATGATTTAGAGGTAAAAGTTTTTTGGATATTTTATTTATTTTATATGTGGAAATGTTCATATTTGGAAAGGGTAAATACTTTTTCGCAATAGGTAATTTCATATATGTTCTTTTTACCGGTTTAAAGATTGAGAAAATTGTCATGTATTTTCGTGAAATTTTTCTAATTTATGAGAAAAAAAAGCAGCGTACATGGATATAGTGAAGAGTGTGCGCAATGCCATTTTTGTGCAATTCTGGGATGTTTTTTTAAGTAAAAATAAGTCGGCGTGTACATGGTTTAGTGATATTTTAATTAAATGATAGTTATTTTGTGAATTTTATGTTTGTAGGAATTTGGTACACGTTTTAAGTTGAAGTAAACGTGCATGGAAATAATTTAAATATTTGATACTAAGTATTTGTAATGCTTGCGGTATGAATTCGTTGGTGACGTGTATAATGTAATAGATGATTTAGAGGTAAAAGTTTTTGGATATTTTATTTATTTTATATGTGGAAATGTTCATATTTGGAAAGGGTAAATACTTTTTCGCGATCAGGTAATTTCATATATGTTCTTTTTACCGGGTTTAAAGATTGAGAAAATTGTCATGTATTTTCGTGAAATTTTTCTAATTTATGAGAAAAAAGCAGTGTACATGGATATATAGTGAAGAGTGTGCGCAATGCCATTTTTGTGCAATTCTGGGATGTTTTTTTAAGTAAAAATAAGTCGGCGTGTACATGGTTTATGTGTATGTGTTATTTTGAAAAACGCGTAAGGAGTATGGTATTGTGCACTTTTTCCCAATTTTGCAGTGAATATTTGTCATGATTAAGCAGTTTTGTTAGATAAAATTTCTAGCATAAGTGTAATTCGGCTAGTAGATTGTTGGAAGAAGTGTTCAGTAGATAAAAAGAAAAAGAAACATGTCTTTACTTCGTGAAGACAAAATGGCGGCAGGGAAAAAAAATAGAGGGTTGCTGTAGGAGAGTTGGTCGCCAAATTTTCGCCAAAAAAACGCCAAGTTACCATAATGTAAAGATCAACCCCTTTTTCATACATATGGCTGCATCATTGAGAAGAAAATATGATGAAGTGGGCCGCAATAATGCATTTCAAATTATTAGATTTTTATTTTTATTACTGTTATTTTTACCTAAAATAATAAGAATTAAATTAGTTTTTATATACTTAAAAATTTGATATATTTTTAATGCATTTTAACAATTACTTTTCAGAGGATGCTAGGTGTTTATATGCATTAGAGATGATTAGAATAAAATAAAAAGTATTATTGGTTCTCTGAGATGACAAAATAGTTTTATGTGTTCCCAGGGGCATCAAAGTTAATAAACCACTGCTTTGAGTAATTAAAGTTTAAATGACTCTTGAAAGGTAAAATGTAGAATGTTCTTATAGTTTATTTACAATGCTACTATAAAGGGTTTGAATATTATTGAAGATTCTAGGCATTGTCAAATTTATTATGAAAAAGACAGTTGTTTCAAAATAAAATGTTTTAAGGTATCAGCAAGTAAATTAAAAAAAAAAACTTTGAAAAATTGCTTGTGTAAAATGAATGTTTTAAATGTATTATTTAGTAATGAATCCATTAATCTATTATATGTACAGTAGTACTAATTATTAAACATGATTTTGAGGATATTGATAAGCAAAGCACTTAAATGAAAAAGATACTTTTACATATACTAAAAATATTAGTATTCTGTATGAATGACAGAGAATATATGTAATGAATAATACCATGGCCAAATACCTACATAAACAAAAAAAAAAAAGTATTCTCTACCTCGACACTTCAAAAAGTAATCCTTCTATGCAGTACATAGTTAATTTCTGATTACATGATATTGCAAGCATTTTCTTCAGGTTTTTCTTACAAGTGATCAAGACCATTAAATACTAGTAGTTTAATCTGGGTTCAGATCATGGTTAAAGGGCTGGCTACATCATTGATTTTTGTGGTTTTCCTCATATGTAATGCAAATGCAAGCCAGTTTTCATTAGAAAGTTGTTCATAAAGGTATCCTTCTTCAGGTCGATAGCCGGTATGCTTTGCGATATTCAAATAACCTAA